CCCGTACAATGGGCACCACAGAAGCTCTAACCGCGAGTAAAGCGGTCAGGGCGTGAAGCTGACAACGCGTTCCCATCTAGTGTTAAGGTGAAGAATGATGGAGCTATACATTCACTCCCTCGTACCCTTCCTGGCACACTGCTTAACTGATTAAGAACAGAATCTCTACCTTTACAAATTTCAATACTTTAATTTTGAGTATCTTATGGACGGGTCTCTAAATTGCAGTTGATGTAGATTTTATCCTTGATTTGTGTGGCATTCTCTTTCCATATTCCATTACCGTACTTTAAACACTGGCCTGATTAAGTATTTTATAACATGAAATATGTATCTGTGGACTTCATTAAACAAAAATCTGTAAATTATTTGAATTATACGCATAAATATTTGCCTTTCATTTTCAAAATCTTTCCCACGGTTCGAATTTATCGCATTTTCTAAATGTTTCGAGCCCAGTTCCTGTTGTTGCAGACCGTAATGAAGGTCTATATTTATATTTATCGCAGGGGAAGCTCATTCCTTTCTGAATTTTTTTACATGAATAGAAATATGTTTGAAATGTAACGAAACGTTATTGAAAGCGTACACTTTTAATTCAGAATTTCCTGTTTATAAATATAACATCGAAACTTCCAGGCATCCTCGCAATATTGGTATTTGACTTTCTATTATATTTTGTTTTTTGTAATATAAACCCGGAAATTTATTTCAGAACCTTCTCACTATATGCATTTTGTTTCCGTTTGGCTGTTGGATACACCAATATAACTTAGATGAAAATATTGATCACAAAAATAAGGAAATAACAAAGACAGCGCCTTCTATGCGGTCCGTTCCAGCTGGACTAGCGAATTGTGTAAATTAATTTCGCATACTAGGTAATTGGGTTCCAACTGAGTCCACTCAACACGGCGGCCACTGATTGGCCTATTGTACCTGCCACGGATGATTACGATGATGGAGAAATTGGTGATGAAGATTGGCAGGGGAAACCGAAGTACTCAGAGAAAACCCGCCCCAGCGCCACTTTGTCCACAATAAATCCCACTTGACTAGGCGCGGGATCGAACACAGGCCGCCACGGTTGGAAGCCAGCGACTAACCGCTTGAACTATGGCGCGGCCTAAATGTGTAAATTAGTGAAATGGTTATAATTACGCGTAGTTTTTTCTTTCCTTGGCACTACAGCCCCAGTGGGCCTAGGCCTACCTCCATGAACTTCTCCGTTCACTTCGGTTTTTCTTGATCTTACACATTCGGTAGGACTCCTTGGGCGGGTGATCAGCTGTACACAAACACAGAAAAAAAACGCACACACAAACTAAACATCCATGCCCTGAGTGGGATTAGAACCCACGATCCCGGTATCCCAGCGAGCGAAGACAGTGCATGCCTTAGACCGATCGGCTACGGTGACCGGCAATTACGCGTAGTTAAGACTTTCGAAAATCCAATAACCCGAGCGGTCTGAGGCATGTACTGTCTTCACTCGCTTGGAAACCTGGATCGTGGGCTCGAATCCCACTCAGGGCATGGATGTTTAGTTTGTGTGTGTGAGTTTTTCTGTGTTTGTATACAGGTAGAGGCCTTGCGACGAGCTGATCACCCGCCCAAGGACTCCTACCGAATGTGTAAGATCTATAAAAATCGAAGTGAACGGAGAAGTTCATGGAAGTAGGCCTAAGCCTACTGAGGCTGCAGTGCCAAGAAAAAAAAACATGGCCTACGTATTCGTAATGACAGCAGCTCCGGCCGGACACCACCGGTTACACAGTGATTCTTTTTCAATAATCTCTGTTACCACGACGACAGCTCGGTGTGTTGCCGTGTTACATGACAAAATAATATAAAATGAGACACATACATGCGACTTCAGAGGGTGTTACCTCTTCAGCAAAATACATATACTTCTTAGCTTTTGTAACGAAGCTCTCTTAATATAAATCTTAACTGATAACACTATTAGTTGATACAGCTTGAAGTCTAAACGTCTGAGACAAAAGTTAATCAAAATATCCGATGGTTCCGTTGAGATTCGAACATGAGACCTTCAAAATAAATTTCAAACCATGTACCACTTGGTGAACCTCTTCGGTTTGAATTATGCTTGTGTCGAGTAAAATGGAGCTAAAGTATTACCATACTCGTATCTACTGGAAGAATATCAAAAGCAATTTCTGCATGAAATGCAACTCCATATCGACAATGCGAAGGAATATTTCTCACCCTTATGTGCACCCCATTTTCACCGATTGCTTCTGTTATATGTTTGGAAAGGGTAAGAAACGGAGGCTTTTTCATTGTATCCTGTGTTACAGCTGCACTTGAGAAGCTGTGTTGAGACGGCCTAGAGCTGCTGTAGGGTGATGATGATCGGAATATTCTGTTGAGGTTGGCGCCCAGCTGGAGACAGAGGGACTTGATTTAAATCATGTCACATTTCAGATTCCTACTCTGATGCGTTGTTCCTGCAAACAGACCGCTGGATCGCAGTAAACAGCTTGTGCCAGATTTGTCTTCACAACTTTATGTTTCTTACTTCTGTAACTATAGCTGATTTCGCCACGAAATTTGCAAATAATAGTAACAACAAACATAGCAAAAATTCTCTTAGGAATTTAACATATATTTTTTCTTTTCGAATGTATATCTGGGCACAAAGTCGGTCACACTCATTACTCTACAAAAATATATTTGTTACTACTCGTATTGACTACGATTCTCTTACAGAATTATCCATTAATTGAAGGCGTTATCGGTTACCTGTGTTGAAAGCAATAAAAACGTTTGGAAGGTTGTGAGTTTCAATTTGGATAATAAAAGGTAGAAAATGTATAATCATAACGTTAATAATTTACAGACACTTCGAGAAATGATTACTAAAAACAAAAAAGATGAAAATGGAGGGAAAACTTGGATACGAAGTGAGAGGGAAAATACAGAAAGAGATCATACAATACAGACGTAAAGTACACTGAAACGTGGGATGAACTTGGGACGGATGAACTGAGGATGTTAACGGTTCACTTCTCCTACCATGACGTGAAGAATAAGAAAATACTTTTGTTAATACGGCGACGACCTAGAGTAGCGAGCTATGTAGAAGGGATGGGAGGGGTGCAAGATGAACAATGTGTGCAGAAATCAGAATGTAGCTGAACAGTTACGTGCAAATATCTCGCGTACACTTACAGAAAGATTAATACTGAAATACGTGTGAAATAAACTCCATAATCGGAGATGAGATGGAAACATTATCACATTCTCGAATGTAGCATAAAACTAGAAGCCTGTGGGGCGAAGATTATGAGGTACGTGAAATACAGCATCAGCTAAAAGTAGAGAAGAACTGACAGTGATGTCTGTTATGGGTATGAACAGCTGAATTCCTTTTTCATGTGAACAATTCCAGCATCTTGAGACATGGGACTTAAATTTATTATAAGATAAAGTCTGATATCTCGGTTCTTAAGTTACTTTTCGCAGAGAATGATCCGAGAATCTTTTGTATTCTTTAGAAGAAAAGTCTTAAACATATATAAGTTCTTTGGAAACAGGAGTTCATTGTTTCTTGAGCGGTGTTTAAGCAGTCAATCCAGTCTTATAAGGAAAACCCTGAGCATAAGGATAAAGATAATTATAACTTCAGCTCTTGTTGTGTATGAAGAACAAAGCTTGGCTTCTCATTCCAGGGAGATTAAGAAAGAACAGAGGAAAGAACTTCGCGTAAAAGGGATGAAGTAACAAAGATCCGGTGGAATTCTGGGTACATGCTGCAGACTGCGATATTCTGGGATATGACAATTTGTAGGCTTGTAGGCGGATATCATATTTCTAGAGAAGAATGAGCCCTCCATCTTAAATATTCAGCTTTGGAAATTGAGAAATCTTCCTCCAAACTTCGGTATCCACCTACAGGATTACATCATGTCGTCATCGCTCTCATCACTGTCTAGATCTAAAAAGTTGCGCTGCTTAACAGTGGTCACTTTGCACTCTCCGCCCTAAATTTAACATATTTAATAAACGTGAAAACCGAGATGAAAGAAGGATCTAGCGTACACAAATAAATTACAAACTTCTGGCCGAAGGACCTCCTGGAAGGAAACAGCCTGGCTGACCTAGGGACACTCCATACCTTCACACCTTAGAGAAACAAGGTGTGAAGGTATGGAGTGAATTAAACTGGCTCAAGATAGGATCCAATTAGAGACACTTATGAACAGAATGCAAAGTTTTGAAGCAGTTATTTTCTTGGACAGCTGAATAACTCTAACCCAACAAAGACATTAATGAATTACGTAGTTCGTTAATTAGTACAGGGTTTGGAATGAATAAGGAAAAATATTGTTTAAAGACACGACAGAGATGAACCAATATAAGAAGAAAATGAAGAAGAATCACGAAAAACAATGGTTGATGAATAAAAACAAAAAAACAAAAAAATCTGTGGTTTTAGTTCGCAAGCGAACTATGCAGACCGAGTGACCGCCACTTGTCGGTGACGTTAGTACCAACTTTAGCGGATAGAATGTGTAGCGTGCTCAGCGCAACGAATCCCCACTGCCGTTATTTTCGGTTTTCTAGACAGGAGCCGCTATTTCCTTGAAACAGCTCCTCAATTATTCTCACTAGGTTGAGTGGACCCCTTTCCAGACCCACTACTTCGCAGAAAATTCGGGTAGTGCCGGGAATCGAACCCGGACCTCTGGATCTGTAAGCAGGAATTCTGATCACAATACCACAGAGGCGGTCCATGGGCGATGAATGTGATTAAAAAAAGGTAATAATAATATATTATTTTATGTGCTTTTCTGATCAGTTCCTTTTTTTTTCATTTTAAGCACTCTCCTCAGTTTCTTTATAAATTCGTTAAAGAACTTGGAGGGGGTTTCTTTCTCCAGCTGCTGGAAATTCTATACAGTATTCAAAAGAGACAGGTAGCGATATCTGATATGCGCAACCTTCAACAAACATTACCTTGAATCTTTGATTAGATTTTCAGGCCGTGATGGCGGGAAGCAGGAGGACTCATACTGTACGAAAACCGTTCTTTCCCCACACTTCTCTCGGGAGGAAAGCGGTTCTTTCGGAGATGAAATATTACCCACTGCCTACTCCTGTCTGGGTGGAGAACAAGAGGAGGAGCCAGGTGTGTAAATTTGGCTGCCAGAAACCGAACAGCTTCAGCCACTGTTTGTAACTTGAACTTCGGATTCCTATTCAAAGTACAACAAAGTGTAGCCGTCAAATTAGCCTCAGAACTTTGCTTCCCCTAACTTCGCTCTTACTTGCGGGAAGCCTACGCTTGTATGCCAACAGCAGTTCCACTTTACCAGCAATTCGTGGCACAGGTACGCCTGCGCACACCGTTTCACATGTGGCAGCCATCTAAATCTTCTTCGTGTAATTGCTTTAATAAAGGTAAATCTGTGCTTAACTAATTAAACACTTCGCCATGAAGGAGTATGATGAAAGGTACGTATAGACACACGTTTTCTTGACCTCGACTCCAGTTGGAGGTGAGTGGTCAGTTTCACGTTCCGTCCGCTTTACCCCCGGGGAAAGAACCGCCGGTACCCATTGGATAGAAGACTGGCTGGGCACAAGAGCTGGTCTGGACGACATGGAGAAGTGAAAAATTTTGCCCCCAACGGGACTCAAAATCCGGACCCCTTGGTCGTGTAGCCCATAGCCAATAGCTATACCGACTGAGCTATCCCGGCTCTCAGCTGTTTTAATAACATGATCTTACACGACGGCGTGAAATTCGGTTCATCTACCCAGAACACAGACTGAAACTGTAGCTCGTTTAGCAGTTGCCGTATTGGATTTCTAATCAAGAGTTTCAGGTTTGAGCTCAATTGTCCCACTAATATCAAGCAACAAAGTTCTCTCAGTGTAATGACGACTTGACTAAACATCCTGTGTATCCAACCAACACACTTCAGAGAACAGGCAATGTCCAACATACCGTTCGTGTAACAGCATATGCAATCAAAGCGCAATAAAAGAAATACGATCCAAATCTGGCAAAGGCCTCAAAATTACGTCTCTGTGTATATTCAGGAGTCACTTGTTCATAAAATTAATTAAAGTGAATGAAACTTGTACATATCACAATTTTTGTATAACGAAAATACTGCATACGAGCACAGAATTTCATCAGAACCGTGACCGCTGGTGCAGCGGCAAAGCTGTACATATGTGTTCGACTGAAGTTCGGTGTGCTTCTCGGTGGGGCAACAGATATCTTGACCCTGGAGGGGGGGGGTTGTACTTTGTCTCAGTGCCTCGACGTAGGGCTCGAGATATTACCAGAATCAGGCCACAACCGCTGCATTTAAATCCTTTCCAATTCATCTTTGCTTTATCGTCCTTCCATAAGATTCTATACAGGATGTCCCAGGATGAGAGTTCGCTATTCTGGGAGGTCAACAGTATCGGCCATTCTAACAAGAATTGTATATGTACATGTGTGTTATTCCGAAAGGTTTCCGAAAGAGTTCTACTTCACTGTACACTGTACAGATGAGAAACACGCCATGTCGTCACATGAGTTGCAAAATGCATTGACGCTGACAGTGGAATTTTCTAAAATGTATTATACTGGGTAAACTGTACCAAATTTATCACTGAACAATAAATACCGGTATTAGAAACAGTATGTAATATCTCTTTATCAACAACTCTTGAACTGTACAGTCTATCTCGGAAACAGTTCGGAATAGGCCACACTATATTTTGCTTAGAATGACCGACATTATGACCTCAAAGAATGCTGACCTTTCCTCATGGGCATTCTGTATAACGTAATATTCTAATAGCGCTGTGAAATAATCCAGCAAATATATCGTCATAGTGTCAAAGATTATACAGGATGTATCACAACTCAACGGCAAAACTTCAGGAACGGACTCCTCATATAGAGAGAAGAAAAAAAGTTTATGACAACATGGGTCCGGAAATGCATACAATTACAGAGTAGTAGTTGTGTCTGCACGCCGGTTACGGTAGCCGAGCGGTCTAAGGCATGCACTGTCTTCGCTCGCTCGGAAGCCGGGATCGTGGGTTCGAATCCCACTTATGGCATGGATGTTTGTGTGCGTTTTTCTGTGTTTGTCTACAGGTAGAGGCCTTGCGACGAGCTGATCACTCGCCCAAGGAGGCCTACCGAATGTGTAAGATCTAGAAAAACCGAAGTGAACGGAGTTCATGGAGGTAGGCCTAGACCCACTGGGGCTGTAGTGCCAAGGGAAAAAAAATTGTGTCTGCACGCCACTGAAAAGAATTTATCACGAAATAATCACATGTGACGTCATGATAATCTCAGAGCTGTCCTCCCAGTGAAAGGCCGACCCATCGATAGAAACCACTCATGTCGCCAATTCTTTTCAGTGGCGTGCAGACATAATTACTACTCCGTAATTATATGCATTTCCAAACCCATGTTGTCATATACTTTTTTTTCTTCTCTCTACATGAGAAGTTTGTTCCTGAACTTTTACCCTTGAGTTAAGTAACACTCTGTATAAGCGTTCATTTAGTACCGTATATACAACATGACTTAAAGCGGTGCGTTGGACATGACGTTTCATTGAGTTTTTCCACAGAACACAAACCTACACCATCCCACTGGGTCTGTAGGATAGTGCGCTAGTCACCTGATAAAAGTACCGTTTATGGAAATTCTGAGATGTTGAAAGTGATGAACGAGGAGCTAGAATTCTGAATGTTATTTCGGGAGTCTCGGGTTCGAAACTCAGATCGGAGGGCCGCTATCCTGACCGAGGCTCTTCGTGATTTCCCAAAGTCTCTCTCGGAAATCCCAGAATAGACCTGAAAACAGGCAAGAACCTCTCCTAATTTTTCTCAAACTCGTCATTAATTAAACTTGTTATTATTCGGCGTGATACAGTCTGAGACACTGACATCATTGCTAATTAAATGAGATAAGAATGACGCCCCTTTTAAATATTTACATAATAAGAAATGTCACTTAATTATCACTGACTATCGCTCTTAGCGAGATGGAATCACTGCAAACGTCTTTAAATTAACCATAGACGAAGTTTATAAAGAGAAGCAAGTTTAGGCTAACAAGAGAAGTGAATATTAAAACCAGAAGAACTGATCCAAAATAAAACTGAGTCCTTAAAATTTATTTTGGGTCTGCTATATCGCGTTTGAACGAAATTGATTCAGTAATTCAGTCGCTGCTTCCAGAGTCGGGCGGACAAAATGATATGGTAAGTAGCCACTGGAACGGATTCAGAGCAATAACATTACCATTCCATTCAAACCGACATCGGATTATAGAAACAAATCACCGAATATGAAGTACATTACGACAGCAGAAAGTAACAAAAACCAGAAGTGCAATATAATTTTATATAACACAGGTACGAGTATTACATAAGCTTACTAAACATGAAATCTACATTCTGAAGGAGGATATGAGACTAGGCTATATCAGCGGTACAACAGTTCCCCTTACAGACTTCAAAGGATTCTGACGATGGTGTATACTGTACTTCTTTTGGCTTATTTTGGACTTCACCCATCGTCTGGTATGTAAAAGACAAAAAGACAAAAAACCACGACGTTTCGGAGACTGGATCTGTCTCCGTCTTCGGGTGGATAGGGAAGGATAAACCTACTCAGTTGGGCCCCTTAGAAAGAGCTAGTCTCAATCACTGTGTTTTCTGTCTTTTTGTCTTTTACATACCAGACGATGGGTGAAGTCCAAAATAAGCCAAAAGAAGTAAGTTCCCCTTACGTATGCGAGATAAAACGGATAAGATATACACCAGTTTATTTCTAGTTTAACGACACTCTCGGCATGTCACGCTACACAGGATCGAAGTGGAGGTTAGTGAATGAATAATTTATGGGTAAGGCTGTGAAGAAAGTGTTCCTGGCCTAACCAGAAGAACCACACCGGCATTTGCTTGGAGGGACTGAGAGAATCACGAAAATGCTCACGACAGCCGGTGTCCCAGCCAAGATTCCAACCAGGCACTTCCCGATGACAGGCAGAAGCGTTCCTCTATGCAATGGGACAGTTCTTAAGACATGCGGGCTGTTTGTTTCCAAGCCGTTGTCCGTTTATTAATAGTGGCAATTCACGTGAAACCATAATTTTGCCTGTGGTTCTGTATGGGTGTGAAACTTGGTCTCTGACATTAATGGAGGAACATAGAGATCAGGGTGTTGAGAATATTTGGACCGAAGAGAGATGAAGTGACAGGAGGTTGGAGAAAACTGCATAATGAGGAGCTTAATAACATGTACTCTTCTCCAAGTATAATTAGAATGATCAAGTCAAGGGGGATGATATGGGCAGGGTATGTAGCACGAATTGGGGAGACGAGGAATGCGTATAGGACATTGTTGGGAAAGACAGAAGGAAAGAGACCACTGGGAAGACCAAGGCGTAGGTGGGTGGACAATATTAAAATGGATCTTAGAGAGATAGGATGGGATGGTACGGATTGGATTGATCTGGCTCAGGATAGGGACCAGTGGAGGGCTCTTATGAACACGGTAATGAACCTTCGGGTTCCATAAAATTCTGGGAATTCTTGAGTAGCGCAGAATTGGCGGTTCCTCCAGAAGGCCTCAGCTCAATGAGTAAGTAAGTAATTCATGTGATCCCGTTACTCCGCGTCATGAGAAGCAGATACAGAGGGTGCAGCCCGAAGAGGCACTGGTGAGTTCGGACTACTGAATCGCTTCGAATACTGGATCTCAGACATAAAAACTGAATTCCCTGTTAAATGTATTCATTCGAAAGATTTATAGCTACATTTTGTATAGAAATGCAGAGCGGAACCGGAAGAAGCTGGACTACACGAGGGGCTCGAGACAAGAGCTAACCGGGTTACGTCTTTCACAACCAGACAAGTAAGTCTATTGATACCAAATATCATAAGAGCATATTTGTAAGCGTCAGCATAACAATTAAAGGAAGTGTATTAACAAAGTTTATTTATATTAATCTTGAAGAAGGCAGTCTTCTGGGATATGGCACCGTGTAGATGTGGTGTTAACCGACGTTTCGGAGGAAGGTATCGCCTCCATCTTCAGGGTAGAATGAAAAATAAGAAAATCCGCAAGCGAAGAGGCCGTGAGAATCGGTACAAGCTTGTT